ATGGCTTCCTACTGCTTTGAAAGAAACTGTCATAAGGAAAGCCAAGTATATGTGTGAAGACATTATTAGGAATATATACCGATTTGTTGTTTGCTTGTGTGTTTAAAAAGACCATGAGGAAAACTGCAATGATTTACACCTCTTACAATGATATATTCATCTAGACAGCTAAATGGAAGAAAGCTGTATTCCTTAGATTATCACTAGATCCAATAAGGTGTGTTAGAAAAAAAATCATAGCAGCATGAATGAAGAGGATATACTTTGTTTAGCCTACTTACCTAAGGAAACCAGGCTTCTGAGACCACGACTACCTAAAATTCCTTGAATAGAGCGGAAGTTTTCAACCAAATTTGACAAAGACAAATAAAAAAAATTAACAAATTTCAGTTTCTGCCAGTGTCATGGAAACAGACGGGTAAGGCTGTAAAGAAATGTCCTGTTTAAGCTCCCACTGAATAAAAGGCTATTAAATTCTCTAAGACCCAAGTGTAATTATTTCTGTTCTTACATAACCCAACAGCACACTGCTGAACACCTCGCTCATGGCTCATATATAATGAACATGTTATACACCAAAATAGCTGTAAGCTATATGGGATGTAATGCAGAAAAGGGAACCCCTGCACTTTTCGTGAAGGTCAAAGTGCCGTGAGTTTCAAGCACGACTCTTTGCACCGGGCTTAAAACAGAATAAAAGGAACATAACAAAATGAATAAGCAACATTAAACTTCCCATAAAGTTTATCTCAATGCCAATAGAGTAACTCCCACTTAGAACAATTGCCTTACTTGTAGACAAGTCAGCATTTTAGAAATTTCAACCAGGCATTGAATTGGTGCTACAGCAAACAATGATGCCAAAGCCTATACAGTGACTGTCAAGTGAAAATACAAGAAAATGCTCCAAAATGCTAAAGACCTTCACAAGAAATACTTCAGTTCCTCATCTTTGCACTCGTTAATAAATATTCACTACAGTCAGTTTGAATTACTGTTAAGAGTTTCAAGGGTGAAACAGGTGCTAATGAGGCCAAAAGAAACACGAGAACAGAGATAACCGTGGAATTAAAAAAAAAAAATAGAGCAAGGAATACACAGGAAGCTGGTTTCATGTAAAATTAGTAGCAAATGAAGAAAATCTATACCTAAAGCTATAACACTGATTCATGATTGGGTGCGACTGGGCCTTCTCAAGGCACACTGTCTCCATGTGTGTTACTGTAACAGGACACACATCCTTTGCTCACTACTGTTGATTACAGTGAAAACCTCCTATAATTACCTGTGAAAGAATGTACCAATGGAACTGAGATAAACCAACCTTTCCCCACACATCCATATATATACACAGCAGGGATTTTTTTTACACTGGCAGTCCTGTAAAATAATTTTTTGAGTACAACAATCAAGATTCTGATGCCTCTCATATTCTTGCAATATCATTTATATAGAGATTCCATAAGCTATTCCGGCAGATGACGTCAAGAAGAGGTGCTCTAAATTCAACCTATTATAAAAGCAAACCATCTTGCTACAATACTCAAATGATATGTTAAATTCATATGTTGCATTATTAAAAATAATTTTTGCCCCTCTATCATTCCCACTGGCAGCAAAGACCTAAGCCCAACCATTTTTCAGCCCCCTCCCAACTTCTCTGCCCGACAGGCCCTAATCCTCTCTTTGTGGCACCGGTCACCCTCGGCAAGCGTGACGCACCAGCCCAGAAAGCTGCTCAGGACAAATTTTGCAAATCTGATCAATCAACACTTTCAGTTGTTACCCACTAATTTGTACAGAAGGCTTTTCCCTGTCAGTTTTGCCCACCCACAGCCAGATGTCACCAGGTCCCACTAATGTCCCAGATACCACAACCGGACCTCTATGCAGGGACCAGTAGGTTGCTGGCTGCTGGTAAACACTTCTTTTTCAGCTATTAAGGTGGCAGTCAGCATGAACTCCACAGAGAGAAAGCCAAAGAGAGTTTTACCTAACATTAAGTTCTCCCTCCATGGCATCCTCTCTAAGTCTGCTCTGAACTATGAATGAACTCTCACTCCTCCCCGAAACCCCTTCTTCTGAAGCAGGTAAGAGTGATGAACATGTTTGCATAACACCCATGTATCCGGGAGCAAAGCTTGACCTGCCTATATAAAATAACTTTATAGAGTCAATAATTTTTTATTCCAAATAAGGGTGACGGATATGAAGATCACTGCAAAATGGACAGGACTTCTTAACAAAACTTCCACTTCTTTCTATTCATAATTTCATTTTGCCAGATTTTTCTTCTCACTCTTCCTCATCTCCTTGGTAAAAATAAATTCCAAAAAATTACCTCCTAATCTTCCAAGCTTCAAAGTCAAGCTCTAAACAAATTATTACAATCACAACTTCCTTCACCTGTAAGCCACTGCAACTCAAATGCCAAGATACACAATATACTATGGTGAATCAGGCCCTCTCACTGCACTGCTTGTCCTCTCCCTAAAATGCTGCAGGTTGCCTGCTTACCCACCAAAACAAGCAGGATGAGGATGAGCTACATGCCACACACTGGTTATGCCATTCTGTATGCTCCCAAATGTGATTAGCACAGAAAATGCGAGAAAACCAGAAGGCATCTTTCCATATTTAGCCATGTATGTTTAATACTGAGTTAGATTTCACCTCAGTGCATTATTCCATTAATCAAGGATGGGTGTAAAAAAGAGAGATACAGACTGACATCAGCTACTTTCAAGATCTCTCTTCCTCCTTCCCCCACCTCCAGCTTCTATGACACCATGTATTGTGCGTTTCATGTGCGTTTCATGTGCATTCATGTGTGCAAACAACAGAGACTTCTCTATAAAGATCAGTTATATGGTAAAACTGCAAAAGGAAACTTTCACCCTTGTCCAGTTGGTTGAATAACTGCAGAGGCCAACAGCAGCAAGCCTCTAAATACATCCTGTTCTTCTCTCTCCACCCCCACGTCTCTAATCACTTAGGAGGAAGATAGGAAGATTAGCAGAGAGGAAAAAAACATAACCAAAGCTGCAGATAACCCTTTAGGACCACAACGTCAGGCTATAAGAACATGGAGCAAAAGGTTAATGCAGCTGTATTTTCAGGAATCTCAGGCACAATTGCATTTAAAGGGGAGGGAGGGGTACTGAGAAGGTGAGAGAGAGAAAAAAAAAGGAAATGGTGATGAAGACAAAAATGAATTTGTCATCTACAGCTGGCTCTTTGATCACCTGGAGTATTCAGGAAAGAATTATCAGTAGAATATAGGGAATAGGGCAGTTTTATTAAAATTATACCATAATTTTTCTTGTAGGATATTTTCATTACCATCATTAGAACAGATTTTAGTAAGAACACAGCTGCAGAAGACCCACTGAGCTATGCAAAGGATAAAGGTGGTAACCAAAACAGTGACAGAGAACTACCTATAGCAGCTGATATTCTGGAGAGATATGAAAAAAAAAAAAAAAAGAAATATAAATAAAAGTCACTTCCACTAGAAGACAATGTCATCTTCATCCATGTCTCTGAACGGTTGCTATGGGGTTGTGAAGAGGAGGGGAAGGATGGGGGGGAGGTTATAATCAATCATCTCAGAAGAGCATTGCTTCTTACAGAGAAAGATCTGGATTTTGACTGTGTCCCTAAGAAAATTGCGGACTGCAGAGCTGCTGCCACGCAGGGCAGTGAGGAAGCAGGCAGAGCAGAGGCAGCAGCTGGGGATGGAAACGCCTATTAAATCCTTTAGACAACAGATGGGCAAAGCTCGGCTGGGTTATAAAAAAAAAATACACCACAATGCATCATGTTTTATTGTCCCACCATAATGAACAACACTTAACACCCACATGCCCAAAGAAGCCCCCCTATGGCTGATCTTACCCCTTCCCTAAATTATAATCCCAAGTCTCCATCCACTTTTGGGGGATCCCAACCCAATGAATTTGCCAGATGCCATTGCTTATTGCACCTGTTACTAAAAATAAAATATTTTATGAAGGAAGGCGTTTGGGCTTCTTTTTAAGGGTTTTTCTTCCAATTAATACTCCCCTGCCCTTGAAGTGAATATGCTATCCAAGCAAGCAACAGTAAGTCCAGATCTTGAACGCATTTAGGGGATCTAATTATGTCATGTAGGGCAGAAGCACCTGCTCTCTGCTAATTCCCTCCACTCCCTTTCCTCTTTTTAATATTTCTTACCATTGTTCCATTCAGGAAAATCTGCTGGGGGCAAGTTTCATAAACAAGCCTTAAGAAAAATAATTAAATAACCTCCCTTCCCCCCTCCCAACCCCTCCTACAAAAACACAGCATAACCAGAATGAAATCTGCTACCGATCCTCTATTTTTCTTTTATTTCAGACCCTACCCACAAAAACCACCAACCCATCCATCCATATTTGCTAAATACCCACAGCAGTCAGTGCCAGAGACATACTGTACATATTTCCACCAACCCCCCCACAACTGCACCTTAAGGACTACACCCTTTTCAATCATGATGTCATGAAATACTGCTGGTGACTCCCCCACTACCACCACCACCTCCTCGGTACTACAGGCTGTGAACCTTTAATTTCAATATAATTTGATTAAAAAGAAAAATGCTCCTAAGTAGGGCAGTGAAGAAACGGATGTGAAAATTCACTACCAGCAGATCATCTATTTTTTCCTCTGCATGCACTCTGGCTGTCATCAGAACAACACCCATTAGCAGGATAGATGAACATAAAGCATCCTGGGCTTTTTTTCTTTTTCTTTTCTTTTTCTTTTTTTGTTTTAAGGAGAAAAGAAAAAGAAGAGGGAGAAAAGAAGGAATTAAAATGAAAACTAAAAATAAATAAAGGCCAAAATCCCCTATGAATATTATCTTCACTGAAACAGCATATGGGAAAACCCTCAACCCTCGAACACCCCATCCCCAAACCTCACTGGCTGCTACAGCACCTTCCCTCTAGCACCGGTGCTGCTGCAAAGAAACCAACCTGTCTGTCCTTTTCCTAGGGTTTTCTCCAAACGATAGGGTCCAACATATTGTGCATGTTGAGCTCCGCTGCCTTCTTTCCCTGTTGATGACATTTCTACCTGGATCTGTAATTCTGCAACGTGTATGTGCTGATGAGCTGGAATTTCTCTCTCTGCAGCTCTTTTAAATTCCCACTTTGCAGCTGTGCAAGCAAAGCACTCTTTTTCTTTGCTTTAGTCCCCTTGGATGCAGATTTTCGTCTTCCTCCCCTTTCTTTCCTCTCTCTCTCACGTGCTTGTTTTGTCGCTGGGTCTGCTTGGGACGCTGAAAGACGAAGGAGTTGTTTCAGTGTTCAAAGAGGGGGATCTACGATCCAAGCCCGAGGAGCATGATGCTGGTGATCCGAGCTCCGCACGCCTTGTTCTCTCCAGGAGCTGTTCAAGGGAGAGCCAGAGCCGGAGCAGCGGAAGAGCCGGGGCCGCAGCCGTGAATGACATTAAAAGCAGCCAATCCCCTCGCCTCCCACCTTCTTCTCCCCTCCTCCTTCCACTACCTTTTCTTTTCCATCAGCAGCAGTTGCTGCCTCTGCCTGTTACAGAGCATCATGACCAATGGCAGCAGAAAACACCGGAGTTCATCAGCCTATTGATAAGGCACAATTAAATATAATTTATTGTGTATATTAATTTAAGACCCAAACAGGCACTCCTTTTTTTTTTTTCTTTTTTACCTCTCAATTTTACTCCACTATGCAGCTGCAGTTCCAGATTAGTAAAGAAAAGGCAAGATTGTGCTAGGCAATAGGAAAGGGGGAAAAAAAGCTACTTCTGAGAATGAGCTCGGGAAATTATTTGCTTCTGTTTGATTCTGTTTTATTCTGGTGGACCTGTATAACACAGGGGTTTTACCCTTTAAAGAAAACCTTGGGGAAAGAGGGGGGCTGTGGGGGGAGAAGAGAAAAGTAACAGGCACAATCCTGTAACCACTGAACTCAGTGACAGACCTGCTTTTGAATTTGATGGGAACAAAAAAACCTCTTAGGGTCCTTAGATGAACATATCAAAAACTGAATGGTCACTCTCTTAATTAGAATTGCAACTGAAAATCCAGGGATTAGATGGTAATAGGAACAGATTGCCTGATCCACAAGCACTGTACTAGCAGTGTAAGAAAACTTTCACTGTTTTTATCCAAGTATGGCTGAGTTTAACCTTCAGAGATTAGGGAGCTGGACAAAAGAAGGGATTCTGCAGATATTTCACGTTCAACAGAAACCTATGTACTTTCTGGATTCAGGACCGTACAGCAGTTTCAGCCAGTCTCCAGGGATATCAAGCTGAAGCTGTTCCCACACAGAAGTTCCATTTTTACCTTCTCTTTCCTACTTCAGGCAAAAAAACTGGTCAAGATATTGCTATTCAAATTCCAACTGAGACACAGACAGAACAAGAATTCTCGAGTCAGGGAAGGTAGGCTTGACAAGCAGGTAAAGAGAGTAAAGACAGGGCAAAACTTTTACAAGCCTTATCATTATCTGTTGCTTATTGAAAGAAGACTACTTCAGGTTTGTTTATTTGGGTTTTTTTTGAAGATGGAAATTTACCTTTTTTTATAGCTATATCCAGAAATAACACATGCTTTTGTAAATTGGAATAAAACTAGAAATTGGCTGTCTACCTGTACCACAGACAACATGACTATCCAATGGGTTGCAGAGGAGTTAATAAGACGGGAGGAGGAAGGAGGAAATAGGGCTTAAACAATTCCAAGATTTCTTCAGGAAACAAAACCCTAACACTTGCTTTGCAAAAAAACAACCCTGTTTTGCCCTTTATTGTCCACTTTTACTCACTTCCACACTGTGTGAGTGCTCCAAAACACCATCTCCATTCCTCAGTTTCCCCCTCCACACCCACGCTGTGTGACCACCCACCCAGACTCCTTCCCCGCCAAGCACTGCTTCCGTGCCTTTCCAATGGCAACCTCTGCCCCTCCAACCCTCCAGGTGTTTACTTTGTCCTTACTACTCAACCCAAATCCAAATTGCCATTTCTCCAGGCTCCCCAGGCCTCTCCTTGTTCTCCCACCACACCTCTGCTCCCTTTTCACACTCGCCGCCTCACGTGTTCTCCCCTCAGAGCACCTGTGCATCGCCTCACACACCTGAGCCCGCAGCCCCTCACAGGGGGGAAGAGAGGGAAGAAAGCTGGGGAAAACACCACCAACAACCAGGGTGGCATCCTGGGTGGCCCACCAACAATCAGGGCGGTCCCCATGCTGTGGCAACTCCGCTCTGCCCTGCAGGCCCTGGCAGAGCCGCCGGAGCAGAGGAAGGGACAGAGAGGCGGTACTGCTGGCAGCCACAGCGACATGGCGGCTTTTTGCACCCAAAGCAGCGAGTGGGGTGTCGGGGCTGGGGCGGCTGTGTGGGGCATCCCTGTGGGGAGGCACAGGGTACACGCGCTACATGGCTGCTGGGAGGCTGACAGGCTACGAGATCTGTCCCATGGCCGAGGGGTGAGGCACCACCTGCCCTTGGTACGAAGCAAATCTGCCCCAGGCACAGTGCAGGACTCAGAACTTGCACCACTGACAGAGCTGAGGGCTCAAACCCCAGCCAGGCACCAGGAGGGCCCAGAGGCACCGGGATGGATTCAGCAGGGCAGTCCGTCCATCTTGTGACACAGTTGAAAAAAATGTCTCTGAAACTTGAGGCACACACCACATGCCTCAGATCATCTCCTTTCCCCATGGCTTACGAGCCATGATGGGACCGTTCCAGGTGAGGCACCATGATGGGAGAAGCACTGTCCCTGATGGGCTCTTGGCTACAGAAATCAAATGTTGGGGGCAATTGAAATGTGTAATGGTTTCTGATGTTTCACTCCTCTCTAAATGTCTGCCCCCCACACTGTCAAAAAGTCCCAACTTTTGACAATGCTAAATTATAGCAATGTGTGCATAGCTTGCAGAAAAAGGAAAATATTGTTATTTGTATAAATTAGGTATCCACCATATCAATAATGCAGGCAGTGAGTATCAGCATAGATCAAAATCTTTTTTAATTCCAAGATTTGTATCTTAAAAGGTATTTAATACATAAGGATGATGTCTATATTTAGATAAACCACATTTGGGTCATGCTATGAATAGAAAGATGAGAAATCAGGCAATATTGTCCATCCAAGTCCAAACTTGTGTATTTCAAATTTGTTTCTATCCGGTATTGAGGAAAGTGGGTTAAGAGACATGAATGTTACAAATGCCCACCTTCTGCCACAAAATATGTGTCAGTTTCATGGCTGGAATAAGGTCAGAAATTTAGTGAAGTTCATATGATCCTGACTGGAAGATAAAACAACAAAAACAAACATGCATGCACAACCCCCTGCTCAACTTCTCCCCCCACACCCCCCCCCCCAACAAAGCCCACCGAAAACTCCCATATATTTTTGGTCTTGTTTAGTTATTTTGATTCTGTTGGAATATCCTTCTGTATTAGCCTATTGCAACAATTTCAACCTTTTGTCCTAAACTCTTTTTGAAAAAATGCTTGGAATTTTCTTGATTACTGAATAATCAAATATTTTGGCTTTGGTGGTTTTTTTTGTTGTTTTTTTTTTTTTTTTAATTTTATGTATTTGTTCATATGGAGCCAAATCCCATTTATCTGTACCCCTTTGATCTGAAACTCAGTCCTTTGAATCTAGGTTATGTCCCCCTGGTGTGAATTACTTATACAATAACTCCCTCAATTATTTGAAGCCCTGTTTATCCAAATGTTTTGATGTTCCAAAAGTATTTTGAATAAACAGGACTCTGCTGTCATTGGATATATCAGATATCTTCGGGGATGCATATGGGATGATTTCCTCTGACCTTATTCTGTATAATCTTGTGCTTAAATGAACAAGAAGTGTAAATTTAAGTGTATAGTTGGCATATTGGCATAATCCTCAGTTCCTGTACTCTTTTCTCCATTATTTTTTCTTTTGTTATTCTCATTTAAGGGCTAAATTTCTCTTAGGAAGGACGCAACACTGATCTCAGCAAAAATTTTGCTGGAATATGGAGTGAACAAAAAAGAAATTATTTAGAATTTTGCTGTTTTATCATACTTCTGAAAAAAAAAAGCAGAGCAAAGGATTGCCTTTTTTTTTTTTTTTGCATTTTTTGCCCACTCCCATTGACACTAGCTTGTGCCTAATGAAAGTCTTTATGATCATATGTTTTCTTAGATGCTTGTCATTGCCTTTCCTCTTATTCCCATTAAAATCTTAAGAGTCAAGATGGATCATGAGATGATGAAAAAAGCTACAGGAATAAACAAGTGCATGAAGAAGTTTTCTTTTAATGTTTTTCACTTGTTCATTTGAATATATGTGTGAAGTTAGTACTAAGAAAAAAAGAAGCGTAATGCTTCCAAGAAAAGTCACCAATAAAGTTGTGTAATTAGCATGGAATAATAAATCAACAGTCTTCTTGTGGTAGGAAGAATTCAGATAAGCTAGGACTTTGTCTCCAATTACCATAACCTAGTAGCTAATGGTTATGATAAGGACATAATAAAGTTAAAGGGGACAAAAATATTCAGCATTTGCAATGTCAGGATCCTTTATCACATCCTGAATGGTGTGTTCCATCCACATATGTATGGACATATGACAGCCTCTGATAAGTGGTGTAGGGATTGAGATATTTTGAGAATTAACCTCATTGTATAGATATTTTATAAGAAACTCACCCAGGTGTTTGAGGGACATTTAATCATCAAAACTGTTGACAAACTGATAATACTTTTATTGAGGATATTTATATCAATCTGCAACATCTTCAAATGGATGTTAACAGTCTAAAATTAAAATTTTTTCTCCTTTGCAATAGGTATTTGCTGTCTTTGTAAGAAGCCAAGGAAGACTGCAAGAAAAGAAAGGACTGGATTTCAGTAAGTGGTGGTATTTTGAATTCTTACAACATGCTCAGAGTTCAGACACTTTTCTTACTGTAGCAAGTGTTGAGGAACTTAATTAGTTGACATCAGTTGCTGGAAGACAGTGCTTCCACACAGACTCCCACCGTGGCAGCTCCTAAAAACTGGTCTATATTGCTCAGCAAAGCTATACCATGACAGTAGTTAGGTAGACTCTGGAGATCTTGCTATTGTTGCCATTATTACTATTGTTAATAATAATTTAGCTGGTATTATTAGGATTCTTGGCATTCTACATATTCTAGTACCTAATTTTTAATACTCACCCAGAAAAAAAATGAACTGTTAGCTTATTATCTACATATCATCATTGTTTCAAGCTGCATTAAGGTAAAGGCTTGTAAAATGTTTAATAAAAAAATAGATAACTGCTTTTGCAGTATCATTTCCTCTGGACCGTGGACTCTCTTTATTCCTTTGGAAATATGACTATCATTTTCTCAAGCCTGCTGCTGTCATTACCTGTGCCATACAGAATTTTTAAACTATTAAGAAACAAAAAACTGCTTAATATAGCAATGTGAAAACCTCTGTTACTAAGTTTTTCTTTTTCTTACACTGAGCTTTGTGTTTCCTAATAATATGTATATGCAGGCACATTCACTTATTTCACTAAGTGGAGCTGTGACTGGGTCTTGGCAGAAATCAAACTTGAAAGCAATCAGACACTTTAGCATGAGGATGGGTCTGTGGTAACTGACCTGTCTTTGAGGTACAAGAGACCAAAAGAATCTGTCTTAGTTGTCAGAGCAAGGCTCTACCTACCCTAATACTGTATCTCCAGTGGTGTCTGTAAGTACAAACATAAGGAAAAAAAAGTCCAAGGCAAGTGTATGTGATTCTTGCCTGCAGTACTCTCTCAGGATCCAATTGTTTTCAGCTCAGGGACTTTCTGAGCCAGATGTTGTTTCTGTGTGCGCCTCAACAGATTTTTTTTCCCCTGTGAGCTTGTTTTTGTCTTCCCTTAAAATCTTGACACCATGACAGATGGCCAGATATCTCTTCAGATTATATGCATGCTTCTGAGAAGACAGTGAATCCTTGAGACAAGTAACATCCATTGATCAATGCTCAAGAACCCCAAAAAGGAAAGAAATAAAATGATGTGTGAGGCACCATTCTTAAAATCCTGCAGCTGTATGGAGCAATTCCAGCTGCTCAGGAAGCCTAGAAACAGCAGAAGCGAGCGTTCAGAGCAGTTGGTGTTTAAGATGAAGAAAACAGGTACGTGAAAACAGAAACATAATTTCTGCCTGTGTTTTTTCTGGTGTTAGAACAATTCCATCCATCCAGTTTTTGCCACAAAATGCATGTCCACCCTGATCAGTGAGTGATGATCTTTATGATGATATCATACAGAAGTGACTGTAAAGTACATATTAGCAGGTATCATGGATGTTTTATGGGCACTTTAACAACATGCACTGAAGTTGTATGATGTCAAATACACTGAATAAAGCAAATTCTCTGTATTTTACCACAAGTCGTTCAGTGAAATATTCAGTCAATATCCTAGAATATTCCCATATTTCTCTGATGCGATTTCAAGTACGTTAAAAAGTATTGATCAGGATGAACAAGGAAAAATACTAATTGTCTAGACCACAGAGTCAGTCTGCCCAGTAGCTGGCAGCCAGGTCCCAAATCTTGCAGTTGCTGGTACCTGCTCACACAAGCCAGTGAGTCTGAGCCCCCACTCCCCACTGTCTCCCCTTGGCAGAGATTCAGGGGTGCTCTCACACCTGGGGCTGGCCCTTAAAGACCCCCTCACCCCATTTGCTCCCAGATCACTTCCCTACTCACCATCTGGTTTGGTTTGATCTGTGCAAGGGATCACACCCACTCACACACCCACACCTGATCAGCGACTGCACCACAGACACACAGGCCCTCCAGCCTGTCAGCCTCCAGCTGCAGCGTTCACACCCCCATGCACTTGTGTGCACAGACACCCCTCACCCAGCAAAAAACTAGAAAATAGTTTTATAAGAAGACAGGTCAGACTGCACTTATTTGGTACAGAGCATAACCAGACAGGTTTTATTACTAGCCAAATGCGGTAACTCACCTTATTATTTGCTTACCCCTCTAGTTTCTCACTCCTGTCCCTCCCCAAGTCACCTAACCTACCCCCTTTCCCCACATTTGGCTCCACCTGTAAACATCCCATAATTAGTCCTGTTCAATCTGGAACTGCTTTCCCCTTATGTCCCATACCGTGTCCCACTCCTCAGCAGTGAGCTCCTAAGTCTGAAAGCTGACTGGAGAGTGCTTGATCTGTGTTCCTGCCAGCCCCTATAGCCCTGTGCTCATCCAGATGTGCTGATGGCCCCTGGCCTGGGGATAGGGTCTTATTCAGGCACCTCACTCCTCTTTGGTCTCTCTGATCTCCTTCATGGGATTTTGTCACATGATATTTTGTATGTTAAGCTGTTGGATAACTTGTCTCCTAACTGAGGAGACAAGTCTCCTGACTGCCTCCTACATGAGGCACTTGGTTTCTTGGTTGCAATAGCCTGCCATTCCTTCTGCAGGGAGAATTATAGATATAACCTTCAGACAGGAATGGTCATCTGGAGTTGTGCTGTGTTCCTTGGAAGATAAGGTACACCTAGCATTTAACACATAGTGGGAAATAACAAAGTTCACAGATTTGTAGTGATTTAGCCCCCACTGGGAATTTAAGAAGAGGACATCCAGCCCTAAATTCTCACGAAATGATGGAAGGAAAAGTTAAAGACAGGCCAGCAATGATGGCAAAATGGTAAAAGATCCCTTGCTCCATAAAAATACATTATCCCAACTTATTTGGTAAAAGATGAGCAAAGAGATTGATGAGGTGAAGAAGTAGGACTTTGTTCTTTGCATTCACATCAGTCTCAGAAAACAAAAGGCATTACTTGAAAACAATCAAAAAGAGTGCCAAGATAAGCAGTAGGCAAATAGAACAAAAGGAGCCAAGAACCTGAGGCCACTATGCACCAGTGAACAGAACTGATCCATTCATCAAATTGATACATATAACAGTGGCAAGTGCAAAAGATAAGCTTTTAAGGAACATAGATCACATGAGGTTGTTGCTAACTTAGGACAGGAGTTGGAATGAAGGCTGCAAGGCAGGTGTAGGTTAGCAACAGCCAACATTCCTGACAGCAGAACCAAGGATAAAGCACTAGGAAGGGTTTTATCTGATGAAAGAAAGTGAAGAAGTGAAGAACAATTTAAGGGGTCAAAGGATATTGTTCATCAAAAGAAAAGGAGCTGCAGGATTTTTCCTCTGCCAGTTGCACAGGCAAGAAGGGAGAGGCTGTTCTGAAGATTTGCATGCTCAGATCTCTGAACTGCTGAAAATGGTTTCTTATGCTGGGCAGAATACTGATTTTATATCACAAAGGAAAATCAATATAATTTCCCTTAAAATGTATTTCTTAACTGCGCCAATAATTTGTTCATTCAAAAAAAACCCAAAAAACCAAAAAAACCCAAAAAAACCCCAAACCCCAAAACCAAAACAGAGCAAAAAAACCTCAAGTAAACAACCAACCAACAAAAAAAAAAAAAAAAAAAAAGAAATCAAAACAAAACCAACACCAAAGTCAACAAAAAAACCCCAACAAAAGTAACAAAAGCCATACACTGAAATAGTAACACCTCCCTGAATATCTTCAGAGCCTTTCACATGGGCCAAAACACATTCAGACTGGGTGGACAGGATACTGTATGCAACAGTTATTCGATATTAGAAAATGTTACTAGATACTAGAACAATATTTATACAATTGATCTGTCCTAATGTTGCTAAAATAAAAGTGCAATTCCTAGTCATCAAAAAGTGAATAAAACAGCTCCATAATCCATGAGGTATTTCATAGGGCAGTCCAGAATGCTAGAAGCTGAAGCACTTTCCCTGCCTCCTCAATGAGCAAAGAATTGTAGGAGTGTATTTCAGACTCTCTGAAACCTCTATTTTAATGACTCTTTTTTTTAAAATAAAAAGTAAAGGATATTCTGAAGTTTCCACAGAACCATTCAAGCACCAGAAGGTCACAGTTCCTAACTCCATAGGTGATGCAGCTTTTCAGAGAAAACGCCTGTCTGTTGAAAAAGCCTCCAGCAAAATAAAACAATATGCAGATGAAAGTTACAAGAATGGCCAAAAGGTGAGCAGCAAAGTGCTTTTTAAATCCCCTCCTGCTGGCAATGGAAAAAGCTGAAACAAATTCCAGCATTGTAATGATGGAATTATTCAGCTGGAACAGGGAGAAAGTGTTACAAACTGGTTGAATAAACAAACTTTGGAAAATAGGGTGCTGTCCTGCTGTTTGGGTTTTACTTTTGATTTACTGCACAGACTGGGAAAATCACTCTGACCGAGAGCTGCCTAACCAGCTGATACGAGAGTTTGTGTGTCACAGGTATTTGCCACTTCACTGGCAGAGGCCCAGTTACAAAACAGGGCAAATTCACACCCTCCTAAACATAGGTCTGATTAAAATTAGCTAAAAGCAGGCAGTCCAAAATTGATGTGTCTGAGATCCCATTATTGCCCCAAGCTTCCTTTTCTTTGTTTCAGTTCTCTTTAGAAAATATTTCCACCTCATCTGCTCTTTATGATACACTTGGCAACCCTTGAGGTGGTTTCTTGAAATGTCTGAGATTCTTAAAAAATTGTATCAGAAATGTACTCTTTGCACGCTAATGTTTTTTCCACCCACCTAGAAATGAGAAAAACAAATACTCCAACAACAGGACCGAAGGATTGCATTTTTTTGTATGTGTGAATGAAAGTTTGCACTGACCTTTTCTCTGGTTATGCTGAAAAGCTCGGACACACCTGCTCTGAGGAATGGTCTGTGAACCCTGTGGAAGCAGCACACATTAGCATGAGTAACTCCTTCAATTTTGCCCTACCAAGGCAAAAGTTATTCCCTGAGAAAAGCAGTGAATCAGATCACCTGCTCTTGCTTCTCACTGTGGTTAGTAGGTCACGTACACTTAAGGATAGATTGTGGCCTCTAGGCATGGGGTTGCCTGGAATACAGTACCGCACATTCTATAAGAGGAGAGTCACAGAAGGCTTTTCTTTTTTCCCCTGCCTCTTCCACCATGATATTTTTACATCTTTCCTCTATGTCATCCTTTTTTTTTGAGTGTCCAGAGTTTGAGGAAATCCTAAGAAAATAGCCTCAGTAGATATCACATTGTTTCTTTGACGGCCTTACAAAATTCCAAATACCATCTTTACACTTTATACACCTAAATGTAAGAAAATGTCAATCTAGTGAGTCATTATTAAAATATCAGATAAAAGCCTATAGAATTTTCACAGTTTGTCATCATCTGGGCAACTTTCCTTTTTTTCCTAGGAATGGCAAATCAGTAAAATCCAAAATGAAAAATTATATTGTGTAGAAATCCTGAAATCTTGCTTGCTAGAGCTACAATATTTGTTATAACAAGGTAGAGGGCTTCTCTCATGACAGGACTTAAATGGCAAATGGTGATAAAGGAAAAAAGAATTTTGACTTCAATGTATGCCCTTGTGGGCTTGTGCACATGGATCCCATTAATGTTGATGATTATTATATGGATGCACTGATGAGCCAGTAGACCTCTGGCCAAGTTAAAAATGTTAAAAAAGTGTTAAAAGTTAAGTCTGCAGGAAAAGAGTAGCAAAACAATAGTGTCTGTGCAATGTCTTTTCCCCAGTGCTCCAAAAGATATTTTTAAATGCTCAGCAGTAGTTTTGTGGTTTTTTACTGATATGAATTTTCAAACCTTGAGTTATTTCATTAGAAAATACCACCAGTATTTAAAATGTCAGACTCATACTGCATTTCCCAGTGTGAATGCTGAATACCAGTGCCTGAAGGAAAGTTTTATGGCATCGATTAACTACAACCGTTTGTAGAACTGACAAAGAGCTGTGTAAAAGGTTTATTCTGACTTTTAGATGTGAGTATTGTGCATCATTTTTATAACATGCAAGCCAACAATGATGTACTTTGTTACTGCAGGTCACAACAACTTCACCCCAAGAGATAAATCACAGAAACTGACATTAGCAATCCCAGAACTTGCAAGGCACAGGATAAGAGAGGCCATAGAAGAGATACTTCAGTGTGTTTTCAATTGATCTCACTTGCTATTAAGAAAAACAAAATATACCTAAAATGAAAAACACACAACTCACATGGAAAAAATACTTGTGAAACAGGCCTGACTTGGAATAGTAGAAGCAGGCAAAATACATGTAATGAATTTAGACAGGAACAGTGACATATTTCTCTTGAAAGTCCAAAGAACAGACCCTGAGTAAGTATAAGTAGAATTTTAAAAAATGTACCAAGTAAACAAACATGAGTGGTAGTGAAATCAAAACCTAGCCTTAATGCTGTTTCCATTCTGGTAGACAATTTCACAAGGGAGAACACATTTTTTTAGAAAGGGAATATGCTGCACATATGTTGCTCATGTCAGCATTTACGTATTATTAGATTTCATGTTACAATTTCATGCAGCAGTCCAAACCTGGTAAAACCTGTCTCTTACAAAGAGCTTTTTATACATAAGAATGTGACAATTGCTCTCCCAGTGATTACTCTCCCCAGGTAACCAAGACAGACATGTGGTACAAAGAGATAAAATCATTTACTTGGCATCATTTGAGAGGTCTACAATCAAACAGGGTTAAAAACAGTTAACAGAAACAGATTGTGGAATCCCAATTCAGCAGCCACTACACAGCTTTTTTTTTGTCTCTATTTCCTGCCAAAAGCCATAGAATCTTTGGACACTCAAAAGTAAAAAAATCCAAACCCTCAACCTAAATAATTTATTTTTAAGTTTAGCTACTTCATATATGTAATGAGATCAGTCTGATTACTGATGATGCGAAATCAAGCTATCTCAAAGGAGACAAGCAGAAAGAGTTTTGCTTGAAAAACAGAATCATGAAGAGTTGAAAAACAAAAGGGTAAAGATAGTTCCCGCTATAGGAAAAAATTGTGCTATAGGTGACACAAGTTAAAGATTCGTGTTACTCCTGGGTGCCCTGGATAGAGCTCAAGGTGGAATAACAGCAATAGGGACATGCAGAGTAAGATAGATGAGAATAAAATATATAAAGACAGGAGAAAATTAGGTTTATGGACAATTTGTACTGAATCCTACTGTTTGAGAGGTCTTTCTGCAAAATATACTTGTTTATAAGTGGCAGACTTCTGCCTAGTTTCTTCCCAGTAAGTCAGCTCTGTGTCAGCTTAAGTCAGATGTTTGAGTACCAAGATCACTGTAAAAAATTTCAACCTCACTAGTAATGATTTGGATAATTACAAGTCAAAACTGTCTTGCCCTCTCAGGCAGAAGTCATGCTGGCAGTTCTGCCAGCATTAGGGACACTACAATGCATTTAAGCTACTCCCAGTAACCCGTACAACTGTGGCAGACAATGCAGCATGTTACCTTTGCGTTCTCTATCGTCCAAGGCAAAACAAATACGCAACATGAGCAATTCCAAAGGTGGGATTTCATAGGTGGTTCTCCTAGCTGACCTCTTGGCCGGAGCGAATGATTGTGTGTGCAGTGACAGCTATAGGGAGGGCACAGGGCACTTCCACTGGCGAGGTCGGTCCCCTCCTGCAGGCGAGGCTCCCTTCCAGCCGCCCGTCCCGAAGGCGCCGAGTGCAGGTGCGCCTTCGCGCCCTCTGCGCGCCTTCGCCTCCGCTGCGAGCCCCTGCGGCAGGGGACCCTCGTGTCAGGGGGCAGACCGGTGGCACAGCGAATACAGTCGGGATCCACCCCAAAAATGCATTTTCCTGACAGAACTGAATCCTGTAAGCATAGGAACAGATGCGTTACACTCATTTGGGTTCCCCTAACCGGCAGGGGTGGGTTGGGTATGATGGAGTTACAGGTAATAATAGCTCTAATGCTAAACCAGGCCACAGATGATGCACTTTGCTTAGATCCATGGTTCCTCAGGGAATGGAGCACCTGTGAATGGCATTTTCAAAATTCTTCTTGGTCTTCTCTGTTGACTGCTTAGATGTTTGCACAGCAGACCCCTATGGATGTAGCTAATGATAAATTACTGTCAATCCCTTTTCAGCATTCTACTATCAGTTTGAACTCCTGCAAGTATTAATATAATATATAGTATGTCATGAATACTGTAAGGGTCTGGAAATAGAAAAAGAGAAGCTCAGAACTTCAGCTAGTGTAAATTACTATCAGTACCAAAGACCTCATGGATTGCAACATTTAAAGTGAGATCTTATTAAGCTTTCTGCACCTTTTCCCTCAAAGAAATTCCCCTCTCCAATGGAATTTTGGCTTTCTATTTAAAAAAAGCTGCCAGTAAATTGACACACACTCATTTCTTAATTTTTTTAAATTTTGATGACTATTACCCATAGTTCCCTGAAGTATTTAAACAACACGTTTAAGCCTCCTTTGAACATGAATTGGTTAATCATGTGAAAACACAATAAAAAAGACTTGAACAGAGCTTTCTTGACTGGGCTAATGCCAAAGCTAAAAACCAATATCTTAGTGCTGAAAGCTATAAACAGCTACGTCAGTGGCTTAGGATTGCATCTTAAGAACAATTTGTATGCATTCTTCTGCATAATTGTACATCTGGTGGCAATAGAAAACATGGCGCATAAACAGGCATAGGCAGGGTTACACAAAATAAATTCAGGTAATCACTCTCCTTTTCTGTGTTGAAGCTTTTGTGGTTCTCTCTAAGACCTAGTCTATGCTAGTACAAAAACCACTAACACAAAGTTCTAGGGCAGACAAAGCTGTGGCTGCTTAACAATTGGCTTTACTACTTTGGGGAGGAATGGATAAAGATCATGGGACAGAATATCATCTGTGGGCTCTCTTACTTCCCTTCAACTTATATTATCTGCAAGTAACAAGACTTTAGCTTTCTGTGTCACTGTCACCACGGAGACCATGGTTCTCTCAACTGTACAATGCAGCCTTGCACTCACCTTTGTGAAACCAAGGGAGAAGTATCCCTTTCAGCCTGTCCAAGACATATGTGGCAGCGCGAGACAAATAACCAAAGTAAGAAATAATTACTGAGAAATGATTGGAGGAAAATTATTTTTATACTGAGGTATCTATTTTTAGTTGTAGAAAACGTCACTGTAGCGTACACCTCATGAGTTCCCATTGCTGACAAAGGTTTGTTTTTTTTTTTTCACAGAAATACAGAAGCATCATTTTCTGAGGAACCTGGGTTGCTCTGGAACTAAAATGTTCTGCTTACAAGGCAGAAGGACATTTCATGGTGATTCTTGGAATGCAGAAGTCAAAATGCAGGATGAAGACATTTTTTCTTTTAAACAATATGCATTGGAAGTGGAGTACAATTGAGGTGTTTGTTTCTTTTGCTCTTTTTTTTTTTTTTTTTTTTTTTTTTCAAACCAAACTCTATTTTGGATAATAAAAATTAAAGTGATACTGCATTACAGAAGAAGTAATCTGCTGCTCTTAGATCTGATAAAGCTTTTAGCTCAGGACAGAGAGGTGCAATTAGCATATGGTGAAGAGTTTGATGTTTGAGCTGTAGGTGGTGGTGTTGCTTTATGTGAGTTTAAGTTCAGTGAGGATGGACTACTTGAAAGGACACAAGTAGAGGTAAATTGGGGTAGCTAGCAAATCAGTTGCTTTCAGTTGCCTGATAGTAGTCAACTTTCCTTCATCCTCAGTTGCTCACACAACACTTTTTAGAAATATGAATAAGCATAGAACTCTTACATTTTGCCATGATTTAGAAATAGAGGTAGAATAGCAACGCAAGAAGAAATGCACAGATGCCAGACAAATAATGGAAGAGGTTGTTTTTATCAATACAGTGCTTACTGAAAACTGTTTTTGTTGTTTTGCCTTTTTTTAAATGTAAACTCATTCTTCAAGTATATGTTGTATTGGATTTCAAAGTACATTTCACCCTAGCTTTGGTTTTGGTTTCAGTAAATGTTTCTGCAATTTGTCTTGCAGGCAGACTCTAACACCCAATAGAAATAATCGACTTGAGTAAGTTTTGCGTACACAGGAATCCCAGTGATTTAGCCTTTGTATACAAATCAGAGAAATAATCTGTACAGCTCTATGAACCAATGCATGCACTGCTCCCATTTACAGGAATTTTAACTTGCATTGTGGATTAGAACTTTTCTGTAAAAACATCTGTCTCACTTCATTTGTAAGTTGCTCTGAGTTCCGGCTCTGTCTTCCCACTGATTTCCCCCAGGCCTCTGTTTTTCCTGCATGAAAAAAATTATACTTTCAGCTCCAGTCTGTAGACTGGTACCAAAGTGACTTCCCTATGGAGAGTCAAACTGATGGACACATGGGGGATAATGTAATTCTCTTCAATGTAGCTCCTGTAGCAAAGCTCTCATATTCCACCATCCCTTGTGGACAGGTCTGTTGCCAACAAATCAGTGATGACTGAAGGTATAGCCCCACTTTCTGCACCTGTGTGCTGCTTTTGGCTGGGGTAAAGTTAATCTTCTTCAGAGTGGCTGGTATGGGGCTCTGTTTGAATTTGTGCTGAAAATCGTGTGGGTAATATAGAGAAGTTTTTGTTGTTGCTGAGCAGGGTTGCACAGAGCCAAGGCCTTTTCTGCTTCTCATACTGTCACACTGGCAAGGGAGTTGGGGGTGCATGGGAAGTCTGGGAGGAGATGCAGCTGGGACAGCTCACCCCAGCTGACAAAAGGAATATTCCACACCATATGATATCAGCTCAGCACATGAAGGGGTGGAAAAGGAAGAAGGGGGGACTTTTGGAGTTGAGGTGTATGCCTGCCCAAGTAATGGCAACACATGAGGAGGCCCTGCTCTCCTGGAGATGGCCGAACACCAGCTGAGCGTGGGTAGTAGTCAATTAATTCCTTGCTTTACTTTGCTTGTGTATGCTGCTTTTTCTTTCACTATCACACTGCCTTTATCTTAACCCACAAATTTTGCAGCTTTTGCCTTTCCAATTCTGTCCCCGAACCCTGAGGGAGTGAGTGAATGGCTGCTTGGGGCTTGGTTGCTGGCTGTGGTTAAACCACAACAAACTGTCAATAATATGTTATATTAATAAACGTACCATAACCATATGTGTCAATATATGGTTATACATGAGTTCATGTTATGCATAAAACCTCTCCAAAACCCCAAATAATTAAAAGCGTTATTTGAGACCCCCAGCATGTGATCAAAACACTTTTTCTGCAGCATCTGGGATTTGGCAATGGGCTGGTGTCTCCCTGCAGCAGCCACTGAGGCACTGTGGGCAGCTTAGGCACAAGGGCATGAGCTTTCCAAAGATTTACAGCTGGAGGATGCACCATGGACAGAGAGGAGAAAAAGAAAAGAATATATAAATCAAACTAGAGCCCTTGGTCTTTCTAGAAAGAACGCAATATTCACTGTGTTTTTGTCTAAAGGCACCTTAAGGAGCAACTGCTGAGAAGGGCAAAATTAGACAAAATTTTTCAGGATGAGAAAGTGCTCAGGACCCAGGGAATCATAGGCACAAGTTCAGTCACACGTGTAAGTGTAAGCTTAGTATTAAGTAGTCAGAGTGCTTACCTAGAGCAATTTCCAGACATGAACACTATTTAGATGTCACTCTTGGGACATTCAATTCAGACACAGTATGTAACTTAGGTTTTTCCTGCTTCGCTGTGCTCTGAGGAAGCCTGCATTCATCCCAAATCTTCTGGGGATATAGAAAAAGGAATATGAGGATATTGGGATGAGGAGCTGTCAGTCTCTTAGGCTGTGGTTTTGGTTTTCTTCCCTAGTGACAGAGCTTTTGTGTCCTCCTGGCAGACACTATTCAGCTTAATCATCATTTAAACTGCCAGTTCATTACTCTCCTGAGTCTTCATGCCAGCTAACAGTTTTAGGGTTGCTTTTCCCTGATCAGACTAAAACATTCAGACCCCTATTTAATTTTTCTCTGCTTGATCTCCACAAATGCTGACACATGCTAACTTGACTCAAGCTTGTCACTAACCTAAATAATTATAACAATTGCTAACCTCTTGAATGTCTTCAAAGAGGGGATTTATGGTGGTTTTTTGCTGTCTGAAAAGTTGGCTGTATCTATGTTGTCAGGAAGGTCATTCATGTCAAAATCAAATGTGTCACAGATGACAGATCTCTGGTAGGACACTGGTTTTAATTAATTTAACTTAATCTACTTAATGGATTTACTTGTAAGTTAACAGAAAATTCACTCACAACTTTTATGCAGTAAGTTTGGGGATGATCCATGGAGCCTTTACATACTACATAGAAGCTCTGTCCTGAATTTGTTTATTTAAAAATCATTTTTTTGGATTCTGTTCAGCCATAGGTTTGCTGTTTATGATACTAATAACACTAGCTTCATCACTAAGGTTAAAAGGCCAGACAGCTTTAAAGTTGAGAAGTTTCTGAGTTTAAGCTGTGGTAATGCAATACAATCTCATGCCAGGATTTTTTTTTTTCAGGTGACCACACTACTCTCAGTGAAAGAGGGATGAATATTAGCCAGCAATAAAAATAATTTCAGTATCATTGCTCTTTACTTAGCAGATCTTACATATTGCTAAATATGGATCAATCCTTAAAAAGAGATGATTTTTAATTTCCCTGTGGGT